TGGGGCCCGGGCCGGGCGGAGCCGGAGAGCCATGGGGGAGGCTGCCAGCCCCGCGCCCGCGCCCGCGCCCGCGCTCTGGGACTGGGACTACCTGGACCGCTGCTTCGCCCGCCACCGCGTCTGCATCTCCTTCGGCCTGTGGATCTGCGCCTCCTCCTGCTGGATCGCCGCCCACACGCTGTAATGGGGTCGGGACCGGGCGGCGCGGGGGTGGGGGCCGGATCGGCCGCGGGGGGCGGGGGGAGCGGGGCGCTAACCCCACACCCCCGCCGCCAAATCCCTCCTGGAAACCTGGGAGGAAGGAGGCAGAGAGGGAGGAGGCAGGAGGCAGGAGGCAGCTCAGCTCCGGGATCGAAAGGAGCCTTCGACTGCGGACTGAAGTCGGGACTTCTTTCCGGATTCCGCGCACGGGAGGCTGGCTGGGGGCTGCAGGAGGAGGCCGGGTGGGGCAGTGCGTGGGGCCGGGGACGGCAGCAGCAAGTCCTGCCTGGGTTCTGTTGTCAGCCTTTCCCCGCCGACTGGCGGTGTGAGCTGGGCAAGCTTAAAACCTCTGAGCCTCATTTTCCTCACCTAGATGGGGATGGTAACACATGGCAAGATTAAATGAGTTAGTCCCTGTAAAGCTCTTAGTATGTGCTCATTAAACATCCTTATCATTGTTCCCGCGCCGCCACCAACCTTTGGCAGAGGGCGAGGACCTAGGACAAGGCTCTCGGTGTTTCTGGTCCCCCTTTACCCAAGGCCCTCTGATCAGCCATGGGGACTGGCAATGATCCGACTCTGGCCACAGTGGTCACCGTCACCTGGGTCCTAAGCTGGCTGAAGTCTGGTTAAAAATGGCCTCCAGGTCTTCGGCCACCCTGTCCCAAGCTGGTGCAACGCAAGTATTCCCCGGCAGAGGAGAAAGGACCAGCAACCCAGAGGGGGCTGGCACCGGCTCATCGTAGGCACCCCGTGGACATTGCACTCCCTCGTGTGATATCGCTGCAGAGATTTGGCAGCCCCTGTACTCAGTCACCGGAATGCAAATAAAAAGACCCTTAGAACATTTACTGTGGGCCCAGTGTTGCATTTATTAACTCATTTCATCCCTGCCACAGCCCCATGAGGGAGGGACCTTTATTACTCCCGTGTACTCATGAGGAAGCTGGAGATTCTGACAGGTTAACTAACTTGCCTGAGTGAATGGAAAGAACTGAACCCCCAGACCCTTATAGAAAGGGGCAGACTTGTGAGGATTAAACTGTCCAGTGGACACTAACGAGGCACTCTACGTGCATTATTAGGCATTTCCTGACCTGGAAACTCGAGTTGGGAGAGGTTAGGTAAGTCCCCCAAGAATGCCCAGCCGGTCAGTCTGAGGGCAGAGACTCTGCTTTTTCAGCCCACCTCAGGTCTGCACACCCATTGTTTTCAGGACTTCGCCCTCCCTGAGCCCCTCCCCCCCTTGTCTTCAGGGAATGTATGTCTTCCAAGCTGTGTGTGGCCTGGGGTAAGGTCAGCCCAGGATTCCCCTCCCCTGAGAGCTGGGGAGCAAAGCCTCCACATGCAAGCCAGAGGGTCTGCCGTGAGCTCACCTAGTCACCATAGGCCTCACTTTTCTCGGCTCTCCAATGTCACTGAATTGTACACTTTAGCAGGTGAATTTTATGGTATAGGAATGAGATCTCCATAAAGCTGCTATTTTTAAAAACGGAAAAACCAAAGTGATA